GATTTTCTAAGGGGGGAGCCGCCCATAATTCATAGGGGGAAACTTTCTCGGCCGCGGCCTTTGGCAAAGGCTGAGACAACATTGTCTGCGCTTGAGTTTATGGTTCTGAACGGTTCAAGTAAGAATGACATGGTCGCTGGCTACCTTCCTGAGGTCATCAAAACTCGAGGTCAATAAAAATCAACGAAGGAAACTTGACTCACTTCATGAGGTGAAGGTTGAAGTGAGTAAAATTGATATGCAATAGGTGAGCCCTCATTTTCGGTGGAAAAAGTCCTCTCATATAATAAATACACTCTGAGATGCATTTTGTGCTTAGCAGAAACATAAATGGTTCGACGGCGATACGGTGCGTTTTGCACACAAGAGTTTCTAAAAACACAGACAAGTTTGTTAAGTGGAAAAGTTCATTATATTTATTAATCAAAATTTCTTCTACATTTGAGGACCACTCTATTTGATTCTCTTCTGCCTCATTCCTTCCCACACCTGACTTGTACTATTGCAAATGATTTATCATTCACCTTTAAAATTTTCAAAATCTACTTTCAATTGAAAAGTCGACGTGTGCGGAAAACTCTATGACCATATTTTTCTCTTTCATTTTCTTAAGCAGTAAGTTCACTTCAAAACCGTTGGGTCTGTTTTTGAAAATCCAGAGCCAACGTAACATGCGAACATATATTTGTTCTGCGAATTAGATGTTTTGAATTGCTAAAATTTTTTTCTGGTAAAAAGGCAAAGCCATGAATACTTTTGGCGGTAGGTCTCTTTTGTAAAGACAGTATCACGCAATCATAGTATGGGCTCTCAAAAGGACGTCACATGACCCTGAGAGATCGTCCGATCGACGATCTTTGACATAGCTCTACTTTGCTTATTTGATACCGGCGTGAGTTGATGTCATACATCAAAAGTGTTTTCTGCTCATCTAAAATCCTCGTATTGTGTCGGTTTCTTCAGTTTCCTCGAATTTGGTCCCGAGACAGGTTGTTCTTGCACTCATAAGTTCGTAAAATTAATGAATAGAATAAGTTATACTAACCTCATCTTGCAAAATTGCTTCATCAATCTTCATTTGCCGCAGGTGGACTTCCGTCCACCAACTTGCTCCACAAGAAATAGTAATTCACCAAAATGAGTCATATTTGGTACGTAGGACTCTGGTGGTGTATCTGAAGCCTGAGAGCCAATAGATAATCGCTCCTTTTTATTCACCTATTTGTGTATTCAGCAAAAAACTGTCTTAATTTAAAAAAAAAAAAAAAAAAAAAAAAAACAACAACAACAACAACAACAAAAAAAAAAAAGAAACCTCAGTTACTTTGAATAATTCAGAAATGGCAACTGAAGGAGAAGAAAAAATAGACTACAGCTAGATGGTTCAACAAGGATTCAAAAGAACATTTCAGAGAATAATTTTCAGCCATCCCTGATTAAATGAATAAATTATTCCTCCGTTCTGCCAGTCGGTGAAACCCCCTCTTTTGGCAAAGGAGACGTTGCATGTGTGAGGAATTTGCGATTTGACTGTTGATTCTTGTGTAAAAGGTCACGAGAAACACGATGGTGCCACTGGTTTTCTCTGAAATCATCTCCCAAGCTCAAAAAAAAGCACTCAAGTTGAGGCCAAAATGGAGGGAATATCCCACCCTACCCTGAGAGTCCAAGTCTAGATCAAGACCAACTTCCGATGCAAAAATAGGGAGCAAATACATTGACAGGGTTGCCACATTATTTGGGGACTCCAAAACTGAAATCACGGCAACCCAGTCAATGTATTTGCTCCCCATCTTCGCATGGAGAGTTTGTCTTGATGTAGAGGTGGACTCTCAGGATAGCGTGGGATATCCCCTCCATTTTGGCCTCAACCTGAGAGATTATTTTGAGCTTGGGAGTTGATTTCAGAGAAAATCAGTGGGACCATCGTGTTTCTCGCAAACTTTTACACAAGAATCAATAGTCAAATCGCAAATTCCTCACACATGCAACATCTCCAATATGAAGATGAGAAACAGGGAACCTCACGTAGAATCGATTAGTTAAAATACGTAAACGGGGTGAAACAGCGCTCCCAATTCATGAAAATTGCCTCCGATTCTTAATAAAGTATTCCTATGTCTCTCTAGCGCGCTACGTTTTACAATCATTACCTGGGGCAATGGGACACCGCGCGCAACTACTCTTTCTAATGAAAGTGATACCCGCGCGTGTATCTTAACGTTCTTTGTAACTTCGCGCCATCTCTCCCCTCCTCTCCCGTTGGACTCAACCTGTGTTCAAGGGGCGCAAGTTCTCTTTGAGGATGGGTTCATTTGGTGACGTCATCGATGGCCGTGGGCCCAACCGTAATGAGCGCGGATCTCAACGGAGCACTTCTCGGTTTTAACGATCCGATGCACCAGCTCGTTACGCGCCATATTCGAGCGCTGCCGTGCCAAGGAAAAACGCCGTATGAGCCTCCAGGCGTTGCCAAATCTCCTCTGGCAAATCACTTATTTTCAGGAAATTTTTGAATATTTTCCCGTCAATTGCTCAGATAATTTTGTTTATAATTTGATCTTAAGTGTCTGGAAATTTCAAGGAAAAATCTTCATAATTTTCCTCAAAATCAAACATTTTATCCAACGAAATTTGGCAACTCTCCAATGTTCATACGGCGTTCTTCCTTAGCACGGCAGAGTGTCTAGTCACTTGAGACGATAAAAAGTCGTTTCCAATACTCGCGGTTATTTCACAAGTCTCATAAATATAAGTTTATCACAGCCAGATCGGACCGTATCGCTAGGCTTGTTTCCGGTTTCCTTCACTTTCAGCCGCTTTCCAAAAGTTTTAGGTTTTACCCTTGAGTCTCTGCATGAAGGCAAGGGTGCCGCACAATGGATCGAGTATATCGAAGAGGTCGGATATAGAATTTTTGACAAAAACTGCAAACTTTGATGTGAATTTCGTCACATTTACGCGAGTAATAATTTCATATCTTGTGTCTTCTGATTTATTTTACAATAAATTGAATCCTACAATTCTACCATTTACTATTTTCATCTGTGGCCATATCAAAAGATTAGTGTTGGTTCATAAAATTCATTTCTATGTGATAATAATTAAATTTTTTGAGCCTTTTATATTTTAGCCCTGTGTAAACACAATCCCCAAAAGGGTTGATTCATAGTCCCAAAGGGTAGAAAGGGTGTTTGAATGAACAAGTCAAAGACAACATTGAAGATTATACAGCAGGATTCGGCAATTCACGTTACAGTAATGCTCACCTAATTTTTTACGTATTCCTACTTCTAGGGTCAAGTAAAAATGTCTAACGAAAGTGTATGTTACAACCTTATTTAAAAAGGAGTTTCTTATAGTTTTAAACCAAAAAGAAATAAGTATTAAAATACTTGTGTTAACAGAGAGCGAATCATATGAGTATACTAATCGAAAAACTGTTATCCTTCACACAGCATAAAAATGTTATTGTAATTAACTGAAAACATATGAAAATTATATTCCTCTATGAATTGGGAAATAATTCCTTCAATTGATTAATTCTTAGCTCATTTCTTATAAACTATCTTAAATAAATTTAACCATACTATATTACCATTCCCTTCTTTAAATATTGATACAGAATGCAGAATGATGCGTCTTAATAATAATATTTCATTAGTATAGTGCTAAAAGTCGTTTAAGAATTCCTCATAACTCTCTTCAGCGAGTAATAAGGGATGTCCCTCCATTAGGTTTGGGCGCTGGTAATGTGGGTTGTAATATGTTGAAGAACAATTGCAGTTATGGCACCCTTGATTTATAATTTTCTCAGTGGCGTCAATATCAAAGAATACATTATTGGATCCGTGATAACCTTTCTTTATAACACAGAACTTAAATGTTGTAAACACTCTTATATGCAACCCCTTGGTAGAACATTTGGTCAGATTGTCTCTACCCGTAATTCTTTCTAAAACTTCCAACATTTCTGCAGGAATTACATCTATTGGCAAATTATTCTTATCATGTTGGCGGTAAACGGACCTTTTGCGGGGAGTTATATGTTTTGATGGTGTTGTTTCAAGGGTGGAGTATAATTCTTGTTCTGATGGAATGACCTGTACGAGCCAGTTGCCGAATGTGTTTTGACTAACGGGCCTGAGTGGTAGGAAGGGCCTTTGAATAAAGGCTCCTGTCGCATCCTTCTCCTTTTTCGTGCCATATAATAGTCTGAATTGCTGGTTGCCATCACAATAAACCTTGTAGTCAAAGATAAACTTTCCATTTACAGTCAGCTTTTTTAGACTCTCCTCAGGCAACCATTTTTGAAATCGTTCTATGATGAGCCTAATTTTCTTTTTTTGGCTATAACATTTTCCGCCAACAACACAATGGTACGATGCTTTTTCAACATTGCTTCCCTAGTGGAAGTGAACCTCATGCGGCGGGAGGTTCGCAGGTGGTTAACTGTCCGCAGCGGGGACTAACCTCATGCAACCTCAAGCAAGCACCCGTCGCATGGAGTCGCATGGAGTTCACACCCTGTTCCAGGAAAAGCTGCATGAGGTGACGGGTACTACCTCCCGCGAAACCCAGGAACCTCCCGCCAAGCTCCCGCCAAGCTCCCGCAAGCCCTAATCACCTCAAGCAAGGGCCAGCAACCCCATGCAGCCCACTAATTACACTGCCCCTGCACACAGTGGGCAGTTCCAGGTCAAAGGAAGGAGGAGTTGAACTTAAAAATCAAATTTCTTTCTCAAAGAAGAGGAATTTCCTAAAAAATTGAGTCAAAATTACTCTAAAAATTAATGTGGCACTTGAATCATGTTAATCCAAGGATTTCACCCTAAAGCTGGTCTCATTTCTGCGTTTCACACAGCCAGAAGTCAAGAAAATAAACTTCTAAGGCATAAATACATGTAATATACTTATGTCAAAAATCTGATGAGCCGTGAGATGCATGCCATCTTATGGGATCCAGGGCTCATCTGAAAATGGGCATGTGCTTTGGGCTGTTTTTTTTTTTTTTATTATTATTTTTTAAAGTCCTATTTAATTCTCTTTTGACAGTATTTGTCCACTCATAAATCCATATTTTAATTGAGCAAGGAAGTTAAAATTTCTGATGAGTCTTGAAATAAATGTGTTCATATGGAGCCCAGGGCTCATCTTAAAATGAACACGATGCCTTCATAAGAATATGGATCCGTGAGTCAACAAATGATCTCCAAAAGAAGAATAAACAGAATTATTCAATTGTATAAATAACATCATTCCAGCCTTGCGAGTCTGAAATGAGTTTCCTGAGTAAAAAATAAGAAACTTGATTTTTGGCTAGTTCCTCCTTCCAAATCGATCATGTGTTTTCAGTTGTGGGGAGAAAATTGGATAATAACTCAAATGAAAAGCTCCAACAATCTTGTTTTCAATGAGTAAACGTGGGCTCTCCTTTAAAATCAAGTGACCCAAGGCTTACTTCCCTCTCTTCACACAATTAGGCACCAGAGTTCAACATCTTTCATAAAGGTACCTACTCACTGATCATGTGAGTTGATGGAGCTTTGAAAGAAAGTCACGGTCCAAAATTCCCATCACAAATTTCCCTATCTCTTTCAGCATGCCAAGAAATAAATATTACCTGTACCTTTTCCACCCATGAACTTCCAGAAAATTCCAAGTCAAAGCAGTAGTTTTCACTTGCTTTCACAGTGAGCAGAAAAATTCCAGGTTCCAGGCACATACTTAATGATCAGCTGGCGATTTTCACAAAATCTGCACCATCACTGGAACTAAAAAATTTACAAATGAAATTTTCACAGTCTACCAGGGTTATACTCATTCACAATCGGTTTTACAAAATTTTTGAATTTTGAAAGATGATGCAATAATTCAAGTTAAACTGAGACTTTTTTTTAGATGCAAGCACTTAATTTAGCTTAGTTAACAATCACAGATAATGCGCTGTTAAGTTATTTTCTCCTCGTGAAATACCCATGAATATGCATGAGGAAACCAGATAAGGACCACATATTCTCATTGATTTTAATTTTCAGCACCTGTTTATTTAGTTGAATTTTTTTCTATGTATTTTGTGGGTCTAATTTGAGCTCAAAAACAAATCAAAACCAAGAGTTGAAAACATGAGAGTCCAAGTCACTTTGAACGGTTCCTTTGTTTTCTCATCAACTCTTCCTTCATTCATGTGACGGCAGACGGAAAAGGCTCCAGGTTGATATGATTCGACTTAGCCTCTCGTAAGATTTTTGATCGCATTGAAAAAACTCTCAGATCCCTCCGCAGCTCACTAGCAGTGCCTGAAGAAGAAACTTTAAAGTGACCAAACTTCTAAAAATGCATAAGTAAGTAATCTCTCATTCTCTCTGTAATTTCATAACATACTGGTAGGTATCAAATCAGTGCACATCATTCTAAATTGCCTCACTTTGAAAGTGCATTACTTCAATGTAATTGAACTGACTTTTGCATGCAAGTAGATTGAGATCAAAGGCTCAGAAAATTCAAAGGGATCCCTCATTGCCATACTCCCTCGATCAGAGCGGATGTTTTTCATTAAAACTGGAGATAATACAATTCATACCTCACACTTCACTCAGCAACAGGGCTTTCCTACTGCGTACCACAAGACCGATCGGCGTCGAAAAATAATACGAACTGAATCTCAAGTCCAATATCACATAGTTAGCACTCATTTTCATCAATTCACGAATAAATCCCTCTAGTTTTTATGAAAGTATTCACATGATGCAACTGTATAAAACTGTACCTACTCTGGTAAACCATAGGGTAAACATTGCGAAGATGTGAGGAATCATAGGTTAGAATACAGAGCTGCCACATCGTTAGAAAAAACATACGAAATTCCATTCGCTTAGCATCTCGTATCGCGATCATTTCGAACGGCAAGGCAACTGCGAGCCAGTGACGTATGATTTGACAGACTCCAGGTTTTTCGCGTATTTGCCAAGTTGAGGAGAAAAAAATGCAAATTTCGCCGTTCATAGGGATTGGTGAAAGTCGATTATTTATTAATCTTGATTATAATTATTGATTATGATCATCATACTTGTGCGATAAATCAGTCAAGCGACGTTGAAAAATTTCCGCCGTCATTTTATATTTTTACAGAAAAATTGTTGGTTGAATCTGTTTGAAAATTTCACTGAATTATATCGGCACCACAAAGAAAATTCAACGAAATTTTAGCACAGCGTCGTGGAACAAAAATTTGCCTGTAAAGAAATAAAATGACGGCGGAAATTTTTTAGACGTCGCATGGCGCTTGTGCTAGTTTGCCAAAGGTGACGAGTCCAAATTGCAAACCGCGCAACAAAGCCACGAACATTTGAAAAATCATTTAGCCCCCAATAGCCCCCCCCCCCACCCAAACTCTAGAACGCTTTTGAGTAATATCTTGAGGAACCTGTGAGAAATCAATTTAATGTCTTACTTTATTTTCGTTTAATTTACTGAGCCACTCAACAGTCGGTCAATGTTCCAAAGGCTTCAAGAAATGAAACTGGAGGATTTTTTCCTCTCCACCCTCCTCCCCGTCGCAACCCCTAGCCCTAATTTTCAGCACGGGGACTTCCGTTGTTTAACATTCAATGACTCAAAATCGTTACGAAACGTTTTGATGAAAGTCCCCGTGCGCTGGGAATATCAGAAGTACCTTAGCCGTATCCATTCCCCGAAGCATTACGTGATTTTGGAATAACTCCAAAGGACACCTGAAAAGAACAATGTTCGACACCCCTGCAGCTTCAGACTCATTAGTCATCGTATATTGCCCTACCGGATGGGAAAAACCTCCTGGTTCCGGTTATACGGATCGCTGTAGCGGTTTGGAAGAAGGTTGCAGTACCAGTCGCTCAAGTTACTGAGGAGGAAACCGAAAACCTCGACCCATTAAGATGATAAGTCATTGACCGATACGAGAATTTTTTCTTAGAGAAGTATTTACAAGTGTAAAAAATTTTACTTGCTTTCATGTTCGAGAAGAAGAGGGAGAGGAAAAAATTAATAAATGCGATGGTAAAGGAAAAGTATAATAATTCGATGGCCGAAATTCATAATCCCGCATCATCGATGCGATGTTTCAAGATTTACCCTCCTAATCATTTATACGATAAGAAAAATACGTCCGACGTCAAATTCAGAGGAAAAATGCGTTCTTCGCACAAGTATGATGATCATAATCAATAATTATAATCAAGATTAATAAATAATCGACTTTCACCAATCCCTATGAACGGCGAAATTTGCATTTTTTTCTCCTCAACTTGGCAAATACGCGAAAAACCTGGAGTCTGTCAAATCATACGTCACTGGCTCGCAGTTGCCTTGCCGTTCGAAATGATCGCGATACGAGATGCTAAGCGAATGGAATTTCGTATGTTTTTTCTAACGATGTGGCAGCTCTGTATTCTAACCTATGATTCCTCACATCTTCGCAATGTTTACCCTATGGTTTACCAGAGTAGGTACAGTTTTATACAGTTGCATCATGTGAATACTTTCATAAAAACTAGAGGGATTTATTCGTGAATTGATGAAAATGAGTGCTAACTATGTGATATTGGACTTGAGATTCAGTTCGTATTATTTTTCGACGCCGATCGGTCTTGTGGTACGCAGTAGGAAAGCCCTGTTGCTGAGTGAAGTGTGAGGTATGAATTGTATTATCTCCAGTTTTAATGAAAAACATCCGCTCTGATCGAGGGAGTATGGCAATGAGGGATCCCTTTGAATTTTCTGAGCCTTTGATCTCAATCTACTTGCATGCAAAAGTCAGTTCAATTACATTGAAGTAATGCACTTTCAAAGTGAGGCAATTTAGAATGATGTGCACTGATTTGATACCTACCAGTATGTTATGAAATTACAGAGAGAATGAGAGATTACTTACTTATGCATTTTTAGAAGTTTGGTCACTTTAAAGTTTCTTCTTCAGGCACTGCTAGTGAGCTGCGGAGGGATCTGAGAGTTTTTTCAATGCGATCAAAAATCTTACGAGAGGCTAAGTCGAATCATATCAACCTGGAGCCTTTTCCGTCTGCCGTCACATGAATGAAGGAAGAGTTGATGAGAAAACAAAGGAACCGTTCAAAGTGACTTGGACTCTCATGTTTTCAACTCTTGGTTTTGATTTGTTTTTGAGCTCAAATTAGACCCACAAAATACATAGAAAAAAATTCAACTAAATAAACAGGTGCTGAAAATTAAAATCAATGAGAATATGTGGTCCTTATCTGGTTTCCTCATGCATATTCATGGGTATTTCACGAGGAGAAAATAACTTAACAGCGCATTATCTGTGATTGTTAACTAAGCTAAATTAAGTGCTTGCATCTAAAAAAAAGTCTCAGTTTAACTTGAATTATTGCATCATCTTTCAAAATTCAAAAATTTTGTAAAACCGATTGTGAATGAGTATAACCCTGGTAGACTGTGAAAATTTCATTTGTAAATTTTTTAGTTCCAGTGATGGTGCAGATTTTGTGAAAATCGCCAGCTGATCATTAAGTATGTGCCTGGAACCTGGAATTTTTCTGCTCACTGTGAAAGCAAGTGAAAACTACTGCTTTGACTTGGAATTTTCTGGAAGTTCATGGGTGGAAAAGGTACAGGTAATATTTATTTCTTGGCATGCTGAAAGAGATAGGGAAATTTGTGATGGGAATTTTGGACCGTGACTTTCTTTCAAAGCTCCATCAACTCACATGATCAGTGAGTAGGTACCTTTATGAAAGATGTTGAACTCTGGTGCCTAATTGTGTGAAGAGAGGGAAGTAAGCCTTGGGTCACTTGATTTTAAAGGAGAGCCCACGTTTACTCATTGAAAACAAGATTGTTGGAGCTTTTCATTTGAGTTATTATCCAATTTTCTCCCCACAACTGAAAACACATGATCGATTTGGAAGGAGGAACTAGCCAAAAATCAAGTTTCTTATTTTTTACTCAGGAAACTCATTTCAGACTCGCAAGGCTGGAATGATGTTATTTATACAATTGAATAATTCTGTTTATTCTTCTTTTGGAGATCATTTGTTGACTCACGGATCCATATTCTTATGAAGGCATCGTGTTCATTTTAAGATGAGCCCTGGGCTCCATATGAACACATTTATTTCAAGACTCATCAGAAATTTTAACTTCCTTGCTCAATTAAAATATGGATTTATGAGTGGACAAATACTGTCAAAAGAGAATTAAATAGGACTTTAAAAAATAATAATAAAAAAAAAAAAAAACCCAAAGCACATGCCCATTTTCAGATGAGCCCTGGATCCCATAAGATGGCATGCATCTCACGGCTCATCAGATTTTTGACATAAGTATATTACATGTATTTATGCCTTAGAAGTTTATTTTCTTGACTTCTGGCTGTGTGAAACGCAGAAATGAGACCAGCTTTAGGGTGAAATCCTTGGATTAACATGATTCAAGTGCCACATTAATTTTTAGAGTAATTTTGACTCAATTTTTTAGGAAATTCCTCTTCTTTGAGAAAGAAATTTGATTTTTAAGTTCAACTCCTCCTTCCTTTGACCTGGAACTGCCCACTGTGTGCAGGGGCAGTGTAATTAGTGAGCTGCATGGGGTTGCTGGCCCTTGCTTGAGGTGATTAGGGCTTGCGGGAGCTTGGCGGGAGCTTGGCGGGAGGTTCCTGGGTTTCGCGGGAGGTAGTACCCGTCACCTCATGCAGCTTTTCCTGGAACAGGGTGTGAACTCCATGCGACTCCATGCGACGGGTGCTTGCTTGAGGTTGCATGAGGTTAGTCCCCGCTGCGGACAGTTAACCACCTGCGAACCTCCCGCCGCATGAGGTTCACTTCCACTAGGGTTGCCGTTGACCAAAAAAATTCGGCATCAGGGTATATAACATATTTAATAAAGAATTCAAATCTATCTCTACATTCAGTAAAAACCTCTATTTCAGATTCGTTTTGAATCGGCCATTCAATATCCGCGTAAATTTTAACATTTCTTGTAGCTGGTATAACTTCGTACAGGCCCTGAAAATTATCTGCGAAATTACGTGTTCTATCTTTAAGGAAAGCATAACAATCTTTATAGTTCCTGAAACTATACCATAGTACCTTCCTCGATTCATCGTACTGGAATGCCGTTAGAAAGGAATCATCATGTTGAAGGATGTGCTATAGTCCAGCTGCTTGGCTGACGTGATGTGTGTATCTGAAACAAGAAAGAGACAAATCTTAGATAATTTTTGTATTATACGAAGAAGTTTTTGCAAAATTGCAAAATCTCTATGCAGTTTTAGGCTTTCTATTGGATTAATTTTCTTGGTACCTTAAGATAAATCATGCCGGCAAAATTCGTTGTATCATTTGCTCCCCCTTTAATATACGAAGTTCTGTGAGATATCTATTTACATATTAATATACATGATGCCTCGCTTCTCTGCTATCCCCTGCGTATACATTTTCCCACAAATTTTGAACTTTCTAAAATATGTTTAGCGGCAACGTCAAACGAATCCATCATCTTACCTATTCTGAAATTGCCCACGAGAGGTCTGTTGCTGTGTTAGTGTCCTTGTCGTATGTAAGGCATGGTACTAATATTTGTGACGCAACCAGAAGCCCCAAATTCCAGAGGAGAGTCTGGATCGAGTAATAGCCTGCAGACCCAAACTCGGCATATGAGGATAATTTATTTTTCTTCACCAACGAGCATTCGTGCCCCGACAAAAATTTAGCCAAGCATAATAAACAGCCTTTCGAGGGATCCGGTAAAAATCTTATGACTGGTAAAACATTT